GCTGGAAATGTACCATGGACACAGCCATTTAAATGAAAAGCATCTGTTTTCCAACATTTTCTTTATTCAGTGGTGAGTGAATGACATTTTCCTTGTTTCTGTACTGTTCATTGGCATAAAGCGCTTTTATTCCAGCTGTAGAGAGGAGGTGGATATCTGCAATGGAGCCAAAATTCCCTAATTTCATTGCAAGTCACTACTTAAAGGAGCACTGTTTTAGAGAGAGGGGGGAGCCATGTGTTAATCCCTTTCTTCTTGTAACCTTTTCCTTAGCTTTGTTGAAGGCACTGCTTCTTATGAAAAGCTTTCAGACAATTCTTCAAGCAACATGACTTTTGATCCATTATTAAACTGGATTTGTTGACTTGAATTTACAACATTATCCCTTCTTCATCAACAGATGTGTATAAAATTGTCTGACATGTTACATTATATCATCATATCGTAAATATTTAAGTCACTCATTTTCATATTTGTTATTATTATGTAGGATTTTCTGTGCATACTTTTTTTTATTCATTCACAGGATGAGGGCATCGCTGGCTAGGCAGCATTTATTGCCCATCCCAGAGGGTAGTTAAGATTTAACCACATTGCTGTTGTGGTCTGGAGTCACATGTAGTACAGACCAGGTAAGGGTGGCAGTTTCCTTCCCTAAAGGACATTAGTGAACCAGATGGGTTTTTCCCAACAATCGACTCTTAATTCCACATACTTATTGAATTCAAATTCCACCATCTGCCATGGTGGGATTCGAACACGGGCCCCCAGAATATTACCTGGGTCTCTAGATTAACAGCCTGGTGATAATTGCCTCCCCTCCCCTATACATAGAGTTTTATATCATAGAGACAGGGCCAATTGACTCAATGAATCCATGCAAGACTCCTCCAACTTTAATTTAGTTTCCCTATTATACTCTAAAATCTCCACACTTCCAATTCTGGCCTTTTGCACAAAACAGATTGTAATTGCTCCATCATAGGTGGCTGTGCTTTTAGCTACCTGGACCCTAAAGTTTGGAATACCCTCTTTAAATATCTCCACTTTCTCCCCTCTCTCTTTAAGACACTCCTTCAAACCTATCTATTTGACCAAGACTTTGCTCACTTTTCATAATATCTCTTTATGTGACATTAACTTTTGTTTGATTACACTCTGAAGCATCCTATGATGTTTCACCCCATTAACAGACAACATACACATACAAGCTGCAGTTGTCCTCCAACTATTCATATCCCTTCCCTCAACTGCATCTTTGCTCTTCATCACAGTTACTCCATAAGGCCACGCAGATCAATTGCCGCTAGAGAACATTTACACATAGTTCTGCTATAACACGTGTTTTGTTGCCTGTAATGCAATTGATGAATAGTGGACATTGTTTGGATAACGCAAACTTTCTGCCGTAGAGGTATAGTGATTTTCTATGGTGATTTCCCTATAACGCGATCTTCTATGGCAATTTTCTATAGCGCAGTTTTCTACAGTGTGAGGTCACACAAGAATGCAACTATTGTGTTATAGGAGGACTACCTGTATGAAAAAGCCATCATATTACCAGATTAACAATGGAAGAGGGCTAAGAACAATCTAGAGTAAAATTGGAGAAGGGCTAATTCCAGCATATTGAGATCGGACTTATTCTTGGTAAATGGGAATGGAAGATTGATGGGCAAAACAGAACAGTTACTAAAATAAAACAAAGAACTGTGGATGCTGGAGATCTGAAACAAAAACAAATTGCTGGTGAAACTCAGTAGGCCTGCCAGCAACTGAGGGAAGAAAGCAGAGTTAGCATTATGTTGATTTTGCTTTCCTCCCACAATATTGGCAGACCTGCTGAGTTTCACCAGCAATTTCTGTTTTTGTTTCAGAACAATAGTTTATATTTGTTCCAGTGAATTTTCAAGAGAGGGAAAGGCTGGGCAAATAAAGCCAGATGTCCCCGGATAATGAAAAAAGTAGAGAAGAAGATGAAGCAGAGGAAGTGATGTCAGATTGATAATGGAAATGAAAACCAGGCTGAATGTGGTATGATCAGGGAGAATTGAGATTGGAAATTGTGTCAAAGAGAGTATGAGAAGAGGTTGGCAGCTAATATTAAAGGCAATCCAAAAGTCTTCTATAGTACAAGCATCCTATTAATAAAAGGGGAGTAGAGAAAGGGTGGGATCAATCAAGTGCCAAATAGGGAATCTATGAAGGAAAATAAATAGCCTGAATGAGATATTGAGTGAGTACTTTGCTCCCATCTTTTCCAAGGGCAGAGATGCTACTAGAGTCATTCCAAATGAAGAAGTAATTATGATACTGTATGGATGAAAAATGAATAAAGAGCAGATATTTGCAAGGCTAGCTACACTTGAAATTTTTAAGTCACCAGTACCAGATGGGATGTATTCAAAATTTCTGAGAGAAATAAGGTTGGAAATTGCAGAGGGAGTGGCCATGATTTTCAAACCTTATTAGATACAGACTGTGGTACCAGTGCAAATATTAGAGCCATATTCAAAACAGGTTTAAAATGACATTTATAACTAGAGGCCAGTCGGTTTAACCCCAATGTTGAGAAAACCTTTATAAATGATGGAGGACAAAATTAACAGTTTCTTATGTTTATTCACTTGTGAGACGTAGGCACGACTGGTTGGGCCAGCATTTATTGCTGTTGCGTAGTTGCCCTTGAGAGGAGATGGTGAGCTGCTTTCTTGAACTGCTGCAGTTCATGTGGTGTAGGTAGAACCACAATTCTCTAAGGGTGGCAATTCCAGGATTTTGAACCAATGATACTGAAAGAACAGCGATATATTTCCAAATCAGGATGGTGCGTGGCTTGGAGGTGAACTTGAAGGTGGTGTCCCACGTATCTGCTGCCCTTGTCCGAGATGATGGACATAGTGGGTTTGGAGGGACAGGTAGTATTGAGGAGGTGGCAAGGCTTCAGAAGGATTTGGACAGGTTAGGAGAGTGGGCAAAGAAGTGGCAGATGGAGTATAACATGGGAAAGTGTGAGGTCATGCACTTTGGTAAGAAGAACAAAAGCAAGGACTATTTTCTAAATGGGGAGAAAATTCAGAAATCTGAAGTGCAAAGAGACTTGAGAGTTCTAGTCCAGGATTCTCTCAAGGTAAACTTGTAGGTTGAGTCAGTAGTCAGGAAGGCAAATGCAATGTTGGCATTTATTTTAAGAGGACTTGCATATAAAAGCATAGATGTACTACTGAGGCTTTATAAGGCTCTGGTCAGGCCACATTTGGAGTATTGTGTGCAGTTTTGGGCCCCATATCTCAGGAAGGATGTACTGGCCCTGAAGTGGGTTCAGAGGAGGTTCACGAGAATGGTCCCAGGAATGGAAAGCTTAACATATGAGGAACGTTTGAGGACTCTGGGACTATACTCATTGGAGTTTAGAAGGATGAGGGGGGATCTAATTGAAACTTTCAGAATACTGAATGGCCTGGACAAAATGGATGTTGGGAAGATGCTTCCATTGGTAGGAGAATCTAGGACCCAAGGACACAGCCTTAGAGTAAAGGGAAGACCTTTTAGAATGGAGATAAGGAGAAACTTCTTCAGCCAGAGAGTGGTGAATCTATGGAATTCACTGCCACAGAAGGCTGTGGAGGCCAGGTCATTGAGTATATTTAAGACTGAGATAGATAGGTTCTTGATTATCAACGGGATCAAGGGTTACGGGGAGAAAGCAGGAGAATGGAGTTGAGGAACTTATCAGCCATGATTGAATGGCGGAGCAGACTCCATGGGCCAAATGGCTTAATTTCTGCTCCTATGTCTTATGGTCTTAAGATACTGTTCATGGAACCTCGGTGAATTTCTGCAGTGCATCTTGTAGATAGTGCACACTGCTGCTACTGAGGGTCGATGGTGGAGGGAGTGGATGCTTGTGGGTGTAGTGCCAATCAAGTGGGCTGCTTTGTCCTGGATGGTATCAAACTTCTTGAGTGTTGTTGGAGCTGCACTCATCCAGGCAAGTGGGAGTATTCCATCATACTCCTGAGTTATGCCTTGTAGATAGATGGTAGACAGGCTTTGGAGAATCAGGAATGAGTTGCCTGCTGCAGTATTCCTAGCTTCTGACATGTTCTCGGAGCCACTGTATTTATTTTGCAAGTGCAGTTGAGTTTCCGGTCAATGGTAAGCCCCAGGATGTCGATACTGATGGTAATTTCATTGGATATCAAAAGGAGGTGTGTAGATTGCCTCTTACTGGAGATGGTCATTGCCTGATATTTGTTTGGCACAAATGGTACTTGTCTCTTTTCATTCCAAGCCTGGATGTTATCCAGATCTTGTTGTATTTGAACATGGACTGCTTCAGTATCTGAGGAGTCACAAATGCTGCTTAGCATTGTGCAATCATTGGTGAACATCCCCACTGCTGACCTTATGATGGAGGAAAGGTCATTGATGAAGCAGCTGAAGATGGTTAGGTCTAGGACCCTACCCCAGGGAACTCCTGCAGAGATATCCTAGAGAGATGACTGACCAAAAACAACCACAACCATCTTCCTTTGTGCCAGATATCACTCTAAATAGTGGAGAGCTTTCCCACCGGCACCCATTGACTCCAATTTTGCAAGGGCTCCTTGATGCCACACTCTGTCAACTACAGCCTTCATATCAAGGGCTGTCACTCTCACCTCACCTCTGGAATTCAGCTCTTTTGTCCGTGTTTGAACCAAGGCTGTAATGAGGTCAGAAGCTGAGTAGCCCTGGCAGAACCCAAACTGGGCATTACTGAGCAGATGCTGCTTGATAGCACTTGGGCAAATATGGATTAATTATTGGCATGGATTTTGGAGCAAGAAACATACTTGGAAAACAACTGAACCCCAAACTTCCTGAAAACAGTTCCGCCAAACTTTACACAATCCTGATGCAATGAAGGAGGTGGGATTTTAAAGGCAAAGTTCCTCTTGCTTAAGTACAGTGAGATTTCCTACAACCCCATCTATCACCGTGATATGGAGTCTGGGAAGTGGTGCGTTTACATCCGTACATACTGTTGTTTTTTCACACTGTGGCTAGGTCTGCAGAGCCCAGATAGTGGTTAAGTATATCCTGGAGCAGCAGTGAGCTAGACTTTTCTACTTGACAGTGACGTTTGGTGGTGGGGGTAGGAGGGAGGTTTGGGTGTGCGGCAGTTCGAAGCTAAAGTTCTTTGAAGAGACATTGTGACAGGAATCGGGAGGAAGGTCCAGCAGTCACTAACTCTGCAACCTTAGCAGGTGCACCAGCTTCCCCTCCTGGCTGCCTGCTGTTCACCATTGCAGAAGTGGCAAACTACTTGGAGTCAGATACCAGCCTGACATGCAACGTGCATGGTCAGTGTAACGTTATAGTTCAGCTGGGGAAAGAAAAGAGACCCGTCTTGAAGCTGCTTTGATTTTGGACCCTGTCAATTGACTGAGAATGGCAAAAATAATTGGATCCACTACAACAGATAACCTCAGTTCACAGGTAGGATTTATGTTATTTGAAGCATGATGAAGGAATCAGTTAATGTTTTCTCTGCTGCTTTCATGGCGAGATTAAAGACCAGCTGTAACGCTTGAGGTTATTTTATTTTGTTCCCTATCATGTTTGTTTTCTGCCCTCTTGCTTAACCCTTCAAATCAGTCCTTAAATAAGGATTCAAGTATAGTTCAGATGGATGATAAAGATGGTACAATATTGCTAGATGTCTTGGCTGGCATTCTAATCTGATCCCACATCAGCATAAACCAGATTGAATTGTGCATTTCACTGATAGTTCTTGGTACCTCATCTACCTTTGCATCTGTAACAGCCGTCAATACATTTCAATGGAATGTTCTAATACACGCTGAAATGCTGTGTCACTGCAAGTTGTGTCCCTTTTCAGTTTATGCAGATTTTTGCCTCTGGCATTTTATAATATAAAGAATAAACTTAAAACAATTTGTTCCTTTACTGTTGTAACACTGAGCTTTTCAAAACAGACTGCGCACCCGAACAGGACCATCATCCTCAGAGGGAAGTTTACTAATGCTGTTGGGGTTGACTTAAAATAGATTAGCAGGGGGTTGAGTTCCTGATGAGTAGTTTAGATGGGAGAGAAGCTGAGGTGGAATTAGAATTTAAAACACATGTAAGTGAGTGGGAAATGTGGATGAAACATAGGCTAGATAAGAAAGAAGTGATCTTAGCAAAGCAAAATGGAACATGTTTAATGCAAGGAGCTTGAAGAATAAAATAAATGAGCTGGGGGCACAGGAAGACAAGTGGGAGTATGATATCATAACCGTGACCGAGACTTGGCTGAAAGATGAGCAGGATTGGCAACTCAACATAGGTTATAGGGTTTTTTAAAACTATATAAACAGAATAACTAGGGAAAGAATAGTGCCTGAGAGATAGTAGGAACTGCAGATGCTGGAGAATCCGAGACAACAAGGTGCAGGGCTGGATGAACACAGCAGGCCAAGCAGCATCGTAGGAGCAGAGAGGCTGACGTTTCGGGCCTAGACCCTTCATCAGAAA